AAAGATAAATGCGCTTCTAAGCATCGGTACGACGGCCATCGACCACGATTATCGAAATCGCGCTTGGAACCTTCGTCCTCGTCCTCGTCCTCGTCGTTGCTAGTTACCAACTTGTTCAAAGAAAAATATTTTCCCGAGCTAGCTTTTCGTCCTCGTTGGAAGCCAATTAATTGTCGCTTCACCAAGCGTGAAAATATTGCTTCGAGAGATCGTTTTTCTCTCGCACCTATTTATAATCTTCTTAAAGAATAAGAACAAGAACAAGAAGAAGAAGAAGAAGAGGAAGAAGAAGTAGAAGACACTAGAACGCTTTTACTATCTTCCTTCCTTCCTTATTTCTTTTTTCTTTCTTTCTATGTCTTCCTCTTTCATCATATTGTACAAATAAACACGAACTTAAATTAGTTTATACGCTTTAAAAAGTATCTACTCAAATCGTCAACTCGTCAAAAATGTATACACATACACACACACGCTTTTTCTTTCATAAAAATATTCGTTAGACATTCAGGATTTTTCCCTCCAAAAGATTCACACGTCTTTCTTCAATTATGTCTCATATTTTATTTTCTGTCCATTTTTTTTCTTTTTGGTTCACTCTAATTATCAATCTCAACGATGTATTTCTATAAATAATCTCTCCAATCTTTCTGATTTAAAGTGACGGTCTTTTCTTGACGAGCTTTTGTTATTTTTTTGTATGACACAAATTTCCAATTAGATGCATACCATTGATTAGCGCACTTGTTTCCTTTTTCGTTTTCGTTTCGTAAAATTTTGTCGGTCAATTTAAAAATTCCATTATAGTTTAGCGGATAAATAAGGATCACCGATTGATGCAAGAACCAGCAACGATCTCGCCGATTCGCATGCTCGGCAGTCTTGCTACTACTGGACCCACGGTAAGATACCAACCAATGAGAGAGTAAACGAGAGAGAGAGAGATAGAAAACGCGCAGAGACACGAGGTAGAGGTAAGCTACATAGCAATTGGATGGATAGGGTGGGGGAACGAAGAAAAGAGAGAGAGAGAGAAGGGGAAGTAGGTTCTTCAGAAAAACAAGGACAAAAAAGAGAGAAAGAAAATAAGGACGAAATACGATGTACCTATGTGTTAGTGGAACTCTGTGTGATAGAATAATTCGTTTTGTATGCGAGCCATCAACCGAGCAGGTATCCACGTGGTTCCTCGTGCTGATTCTGTCACGCGATTGGTCCTTCTGCATACCATAACGACCTTACTTCGTGGATCTGTTCTATTCTAAACATATTTTTTGACTATATGCGTATATAAATATAAAAGGATAATTATAAATAATTCATCGAGTTGTGCGTCAAGGTTGCATCTGGGTTTCATCTTTTTATCTTTTTCTACGTCATTCAGGATTTTTTTTAGAAAATATAACTTTTTCATAACACAATTATGGGTTTGTAAATGTCTTTGTATTCAAATGGCAGTTGTTTAGACGATTAGTATTTTTTGATGTAAATAATATGAAAAAAATATTATATTAATATTATAATATTATATTTTATGTAAATAATATGGAAAAAATTGCATTGTGACTTTTTGACAAACGAAATAATTTTTTCTAATATTTTTTTGACTAATTTAATATTACAAATTTCTTTGATAGATAAATATAAAATTAAAGCAAATGTAATATGGAATATTATTACATCCCTAGAATAAATTCACGTGCAGCTACAAAATGATGATCATTAGAAAAAGGAAGAATGAAAGGGTTGATTTGATCAGAAATTGCAGGTTACGTGAATCCATCGATTTCTCTTCTTCCTACGTATTTACGATACTTACTTCGTTATATCGAACGTTTAATTACAGTAATTAAATGTACGTAATTATCGATTATTGCATGAAATTATAACGGAACGATACGACAAATTCTTCCACGTAATTATCATTATGAAATGACATTAGGAAACAAATAGTAATAAATAGGTTGGATAGTATTCGTTTTATAGGTAAGAACATTTTTTAAGAAAAATAATACGTAGAGATGTTTCTTCCCACTAATGCATTATCTTTTCTTTCAATGGTCGATCTCAAGTGTGCGCGTGTGTGTCAATAATTCATTTTAAAATTTGTTTGCAATTCATTTACAATACAATCATCATTTATATGAATAAGGAGACCTATTTCAACGAAAATTTCTTTCGTATATTTACAAATGTCCTTCTCTTTGTCGATTTACGATCCAAAGATTTCTATTAAATCGGTGTGCACGAAGTTTCTTTCGTATGCATTTGCTCTCCACACAATGAGGACTTTGTACTTTGGATGGTTTAGCTTAGAAAGAAAAAAAAAAAGAAAAAAAAAGAGAATTTACGAGATCCGTTAAAAGATATTGAAAGATCGTAGCTATATCGATTTTCTTTTAACCTTAAATCGAAAAAAAAACTTTTATTTATAAAATTATCGTTTATAGAGTCTCATTAGAAACCGAAGCACAGTGGTTGACTAATATACGGAATGACTCAGAGCCATGCTGCGACGAAACGAGTGGACCACTCTGCGAAATAGAAATAGATCGCGACGAACCCGAGTAAAGTGGACTTAGTGGTGCGGTGCATCCACTTAAGATCGTTATTATACCTTTTCAAATTTCGAATTAGAACGTTAGACTATTAGGATCTAGAACTAGGATCCCACCCCATCTAACAAAAAAATAATCCAATCGGAGAATTTTTAAATTTCTGATTAGACCCCTAAATCCCTAGGATGTCATTTCATCTTCAATAAAAACAAGAAATAATCCAATCGAACGGATTATTTGATCAAATTCAAATTCGATGTACTCTTGTTATGTTCTACTACTTGTTCTTTCAATTTTTAGTTTTTCTACAAAAAGAAAGAGAGAGAGGGAAGGAATTGAAAGAAGACAAGGAATAAGAAAAAGACAGAACAGCATGTAAGTCGCGTGCTACGCACTACCTCGAAGGCAAAACACGTGATTTGACTTTCGCGTTCGCGCGTTCCCAACCTTACCGATACCTGCTGCTGCTGCTCTGTGTGTGTGTGTGTGTGTGTGTGTGTGTGTGCGTGCGAATTTGCGCGCGCAAGCAAGCGAGAACGGGCAGTAAGTAAGCGAGTGTTTTAATTATAGACCCAAGCCCTTCTTTTCTCTCTCTCTTTCTTTTTGACACTTTTTCTTCATCTTCGTCCACCCTCGACATCGCGAAATCGGCGAGGCAGACCGACTTGCGTCTACCACGAGGAGAAGGAGAAACCGGCACGCGTTTCTACGACAACACAACGAGGGTAGTAACACTAGCTGCTAGCAGCACGAAAGTACCTAAAGACTTCTTCTAACACGGTTGCCCTTTTCTTCCTTCTTTTTTTTTTCTCTCCCCTACGAGCAACACTTAAAGTTAGGTACGAATCTCTGCTTGGAAACGTTACTTGTTTTAATAACGAATTCCTAGCTTGACTATTGTGTATGTTCAATATTTTTTTTTTTTTTGCATTTTCTTTATATTACGATTCTTATCAATAGAAATTTTACTGATTCTAATAGTGGTTGAATTAATATTGGGTTGACAACAAAGTAATTTCGGTTTTCTAGTGTGAAATATTACTTTCTTGCCAACCCAATAATATTATATATATATAATTTTATAATATATATAGATATATATTTACTTACTACCAAAATTACTTTCTTGCCAACCCAATATATTTAATTATAAAATACAAGGGTGGTTTGAAAAGTTTTGAGTTACAATTAAATAGTATGAATGAGTTTTTATCAATAACAAAGATATTTTATGTTATGCAGTAAATTTTTCAAACCATTCCCATATTAATAGTATAGAATTATTTTTAATGACAGAATTTAAATATGAATTAACAAATACGAGGGGGGAATAATATTTCAATAATAACAAATAGAATTATACGCGTGATCGATACAACAATATGTTTAATATCAATTGATGTAAATATTATACCGTGTTCGTTTCGTTAATTGATTATTCATAAACTTGACAAAGAAATCAACGGTTTCTTATTTTTTTTTGTGAAAGAAATACATCGTTACTTAAGTTTTTTCAACATTTCTACGAAATAATCTAACAAAACCAGTTGAATTTAGAATAAGAGTGTAAATATATTCCCGTAATAGAATTCTCTTTTCTTTAGAAGGTTGAAGTGGCTAGCAAAGATGTTAACTATGGATTATGCAAATGAACGTTAGGATAATGCTTTCAAATTGGAAATGTAATCTATCTATGATTCTTATCCGGAAGTGACACGGTGGTTAGTTTTTTTTTTTTAAAGATGCACCAGTCTATCTTCATCAAGTGTTCTTCTCTTTCTATCTTTTTTATTCATTCTTCTACTTTCTAAGTATTCCACTCCTACTTTGGTATTCTTTACATCCTAATTTTATTTCTTCAATTTATTTTTTTCTACTCTCTTTCAATGTTTAACATTTACACAAAACGCGAAATTGGAATTACAACAAAATCTATTGTGATAAACTATGATTAAATATAAGTTAACACGTGACTAGTTTGACAAGAACATTATTTAACATTTTTTGTTTTACGTGTTTATCGTAAATGGAAACGTTTGTTGTATTATGCATTTATCATTTTTTAAGATAATCGTACAGTCATACGAACACGTGTTGTCTTCTACACGCGTGTAGGAGTATTAAATTTTCTAAAATTTTCAATCGTGTTTTTTTTTATGCAAACACAATGTTATCTCGTTACAATGGGATAGAAATAAGAATGAGAAACTATTATGGACTACATAAATGCTTTAGCTCGTGGAGACGAATCGCGACGCTTTTCTAGACTTTCTTTGCGTGCCCTAAACGTGGTTGCATGCTTTCTATTTTTAAAGGACAACTTCGTAAGCCGCCTTAGAACGGCACTTTAATGGACTCGCTGAAGAAACTCCTACACTTTGTCAGGAAGTTCCTGGCAAATGTAATATATTATCATTTTATTAAAGATATCTTTAAACTCACCATTTGTTGAACGTTCTTGGGCTTTCGATTAACGTCGATCACTTTTTGATTCGCTGAAAAAGAAAAAAAAAATGTTGAAAAAATCCCTTCATTTTTTATTTCCAAACGAAATGTTAATTATTTCATTCGATACTTGACAAAATATTTGTTATGCATCAATGCATACGCGAATACACGAATATATCTATACGTTATAGATAACTGTCCAACACCATAAATGAACCCCACGATTAAAGGTTAGAGATGTATGTATAATACAGTACTGTTACTCGTTTGTCCCTGTTGTGTCAATTCCGCTTACGTGTCATTACAACAAAATAAATCGAAATTCCCATTGACGATTGAATCAAAGTTAATTGCATTAGGATTATCATCAAAAATATAACTTACTGACTGCTTCCACCAAATCGGCAAGAAGGACACCGTCGCAAAGATCGGCTTGGAGATCGGAAACTCGTCTCTTAGAACCACCACGTTCCAAATAATAATTCGCCCAGTCGGTGTAAATCTGTGAATAATAAAAATAAATCAAATATCGTATATGCATTCGATATAATGGAGTATATACATATATAGAACGAGAAGATGTAATTTGTTGATTCGAATTAAACGTTTTTCGTAGTCTGCGCGTAGACGAAGAAAGAAAGTTCGTGGAAGGAACATAACCGGCGATCTCATTGGTACGTTGATCGCATGATCGTACGTCCCATCACGTACTCGCACTTACGATCATTAACCGTACGTACGTAACCACCAAAGGCACGTTCGTGTCTCACGCGGTTTCACGTCTAACGAACGATGAACCATTCCAATATACGAAGTAAACCTAAGATTCTTCATTGAAAACAGTTCTATAACATTTTGCTCTAATTATTATTATATAAATAACTTCCATAACTCGAGATATTAATTAATAAAGAATTAGTGCTTGGAACACATACCTAGGTAAATTAAAAAGTTTTCAACCTAACTGAACTATAAAATCAAATTGGTTTATCCGATCAAACTTTTATTTTTCGACATAGTAATTTCAAAACTTTTGAAAAATAATAACCGTGTAGTAGTTATTAAATAAATAATAACTATAGTTAATTAAATGAATAATAACTATAATTAATTAAATAAATAATAACTATAATTAATTAAATAAATAATAATAATAATTATTATATATATATATATATAAATTAAATAAATAATATAATAGTAAATATAATAAAATAATAACTTTTCAATACATCCACGTATGTTAAATACTGCAAACTTGTAAAATAGGAAATATAAATTTTAACGTTGTTGAGTAATAATAATCATTTAAAATATAATCCTGTTTTGTTTTTGCATTGATAAACAAATAAACGAACGAAAGTATACCTGTACAATGTTGCGAGTAGAATCAGCTTTAATATCATCGATAGAACTGCGCACGGATCTTGGTGCCCTGATGCAAGCCATGATTCCGATTGCACTTTTAACTAATTATAGTCTTTCGATTATAAACAACAGAAATTTATTTACGATATGCACATTCTTTCAACTTAGGTACATAGATTACAATTGCACTGTGAATAACTTTGCACCGATAAACAAATGCAATTAACGTTTGTTTTCATTCAAGAACACTTGTCCTTTTAAATTGATGTTTTTGTTTCTTTTTTTTTTGATTAACTTTTTATCATCTTTTCCAACCTTTTTTTCTTTTTCATCGTCTCTTCTTTTTTCTTCTTCTGTCTATATCTCTTTTACACTTGAGACACCAGGATGAAGAAAAAGAAGAGAAGGAGAAAAACAGGGTAAAGAAAAGAAACAAAAATAATAATAATAAAAAAAAAAAGGAAAGAAACTATGCTAACTCGGTTGCATGAATGAAGGAAGGACGTTTCACTTGGCGCGCCGTTTGCAACCTTCTCGCTAAAGGGGAAAGTGGTGTGAAGGAGGAAGACGAAGAAGAGGAGGAAGAGGAAGAGAAAGAAATATAGAGGAAAATAATAAGAGGAAAAAGAAAACAAAACAAAGAAAAAGAAAAAAAAGAAAAGAATAAAGCGACACAAATTTCCTTCTTATTCTTTCATAAACACACGAATAATCTTCATCGTCAAAGGCTATTATAATTTATGAATGATCGATCAGGACCTAACCGAGACGCGAAAAAACGTAACGGGTCGTTCCTCTTCCTTCTCCTTCTTTTCATCCTCGGCGGGTGACGTAGACACCTCCTATCTTCTCTAACCGTTTTTCTTCTCTTCTTTCTTGAATCGTTTCGATCAAAATTTAAATTTACGTACACGTTTGAATTCGAGTTAGAATATAAATTCGTCTTTTCGTTTTTCTTTTTCTTCGTATGATTATTATTATTATTTTTATTATTATTATTATGATAGAAATAAGAACGAGATGGCTCGAGGCGCATCGTGTAAACACAAAACCACGATCTACTTATCTATCTATTTCTATCTATTTCTTTATTTTTCGTGTGTTTACTATTTTTGTCCTCTTTATTTTCATTAACATATCTAACGAAACGAGAAAACACGACGCGACGCTAAGCGACGCGTCTTTACGGCGCGACGCACCGGACGTAACTGAATACACGTCTCGTCTACTTATCCCGGCGTAGGTGCGTACTCTATCCCCACCCTTTCCCTCTATCTATCTATCTCTCACTCACTCACTCACGCACGCTCTTACTTACTTGCTTTTTCTTTCTTTCTTTTTCTCTCTCTCTCTCTCTCTCTCTCTGCCTTCCCTCTTTAACTCGTTTTATTAAAATATCTCATTTAAATTATATTAAATCGTCTCGAAAATGATTCTTTCAATTTCTTAATAAATTTATACGAAACAATATTTTGTATTTTATATTAGTTTACTGATTGTCAGGTATATATATGAACTATTGTTCTATTACCTTTCTCTACATCATGGTATATAACTTACAATCATTGATATAAAATAAAATATATAAAATATTGTACATGTAAAATTTATTAAAAGGAAGTTAGAAACTTTAATAGACGATTTAATAATATGACAAAGTTTATTATAATATCTCGTTTATTTATAATATATAAAATATAATATAATATGGGTTGTATTTTATATAAACTAACTGATTTATTTTGCTCTATTATTTTTTTCCACATCATCGTATTATAAATTACAATCAATAAAATACAAAATTAAATACAAAATATTGTATTTTAAAAAAATTATTAAGAGAAAGTTAAAGAAACTTAAATAAACAGTTTAATAATATGTCAAAGCTTATTATAATATCTCGTTTAATTATAATACTCGTTAAGACTTTGTTTTCTTACAAACAAATTACTTTCGTTCGACTTCCTTTTTTGAATCTCTTTTTGTCTTTCTTTTACCTTTTTACACGACAAGGTGTTTCATGTAAAACTAGAGGATCGTTTACCTTCCTTGCTACCAGCTGATATATCCGGTACATCATCTTATTCTTTCCTCTTTAAAACCTTTATCATATTTGAGAGAGAAAAAAATATGATAGAAGCTTTTTCGCGAACAATGGAAGAAGACGTGTGCGATAAGTCTATGTGACGTTTTGAATAAATCACAAATCCTTTAACAAATTTTCTCGACTAACCGTTATTTATATAAAACCTTTTTATTCGTTATATTAACTGACAAAAGCTACGTGACTGAAAATGAGTCAAGTGTTAAAATGAATGATATATCGAAAATTCTATCGAGATTATCTCAAATAAATTCTTCGAAATTTGATCAATGTGTTAGTTACCAAATATATATATGTATGTAAAATTGAATATTAATTATAATTTGAATAAACGTGTACGAATGGAAGCAAAACATAATCTTCAAATAATCCTTAAACAAAATATAGAAAGCTTAACGTTTCGAATATAAAATTAAAAAATAATAATAATAATATATTTATATATATATACATAGAGTCTCGTAGAATATGTATATATATATATTTTGTTACGTAAGCAAAACTAGAACTTGTGATGCAATATAAAAATTACGATGAAATATTACTCATTCGTTCAAGGACACCGGATGAAACTCAAAAGAGATATAAGAGGAAAGCAAAAAAAAAGGATCGCAAGGACAATTCGATTACTTTTCCTATATAAACGGTATAATAAATACGGCGAGATATTGGTTCAATTTTCAAGAAGGCGATATGAAATGTCTGTTTTCTCGAATATGACGGTAAATAACGGCTCGGCGAATAGGATGTAGGTCAACAACGGTGTCCAACCTTTTTCGTTGAAGTCTTGAGCTCGTACATTGAGTAAAAAGGAATTTTCTTAAATTGTATATGCGAAAAATAAATAATATAATATAGTAAAAATGTTAACTAAAATAAAATCAAATTTCTACCATTCTCCGAATATTAAATATTTATAATAATAATTATAAAAGCGTGTGAAATAGATGAATAAACTGACGAATGATATACAAGGAATAGATAAAGCAATATGCGTGATATAAGCCATGAATAAATGAACGAAAATGAATTCTGAGAATGCATATAAGGAGAACGAGAGATGAATGAGCGGCAAGATTATATGGATGTGTGTGTGTGTGTGTGTGTGTGTGTGTGTGTGTGTGTGTGTGTGAACGGATGCAAGGTAAGAAGATGCGAACGAATGAATGATGTTACTTCAAGAAAAGACGAATATTAAAATTAAATTGAAATCTAATCAATCGTTATACAAATACAAAACACAATTATTATTCATAAATTGATATAACAATCGTAGGAAATTTCCATTGTCCATTGCAGGTTGGATAACCCTAATTAAGGTAAAAACAAAATAAACAATGTTCGTTGTTATAATGACAATAAAAGACATGCCACTAAAACGTAAGAATTCAATTTCTATACCTCGAGAAAACGGTGGGTCGAATTACTGGCTAACATTGCGTCATTAGGTTCAATCGAAATTGCTCGTAAATTTATTAGCAAGAACGTGAACCCGAACGGACAAAACGAATCAACGGGCAAAGGATCGATCGATTTCATTCAATTTAGGACTCGTTGTATTTATTTTTTCTTTTTACAAAGTTGATTTGTATTTTCAATATCGAGAGAGTGTTTATAACGTTGAAAGCAAATGACGAGTAAATATGTTCATCAGGTACACTGAATTACTTGCTATTGTAGCAAGGGAAAGGAAAATATTCATTGATAACTGAAACGGGGTAGGGGGGTTAGGATTAACAACAAAGCATTGTCATGCGAAGCTCGTTCTGACGTTACAGTTGAGGGGTTTCGATGATCCGTCCTTTTTAAAATACACACACATCTAAACGTTATGTATACGTATACGTGTATAGAATTCTCAGCGGGTAGGATTCGTTTGTCGGACTCACGTATGCCCAGCACAGTGCGATGGATTTCGGCTTTGACCTGTCGTGGCGATTCGTGTGAAATTTAAGGGTGGAGCGGGGGAAGTGGGCTTTTCCTTCGTAACGACAATTTTGCGGGGCCGACGCGTTTGCCCATCAAAAGGGCTGCTGCTGCTGCTGCAAGGGATGAACCAGCGGCCTTTTGTCGATCTAATGCGAAAAGGGGCTACTCGATGAACGTACCGAGAGAACAGGGAGATGAAATTTGGTTTGTCTTGTTCGTGCTATCGTGACGTTCCTGAAACGGGTGAGGTGCTGTTACGAGGAAGAAGGATCCAACAAGGAAGAGAAGCAGAAGAGTCACGTATTTAGACGGCAAGTGGGAAGATGGGTGAAAAGGGAAAGGGATGAAGCCAAAGAGGAGCAAAGAAAAGATAAGGAGAATAGGGTCGGATAAAGGAACTAAGGGGGGCGAAAGAAGAAAAAAAAAGAAAAGGAAAAAATGTTCCGCAAACAAACCTTTTCTCCAAAGAAAAGTAAATCTCGGAAAGCGATGAGATAAAATTCATATGTCCCTACGGTTATTGTTGATAATGAAAATAAATTGTCGAGTATAACTGAAATAATAAAGAAAAGAAATAAATTTATCTTATCTTTAGGCATGTAACGATGACATTACTCGACCATATTATTTGTTCTAATCGGTACGTATGTTTGAATAAAAATTTGATCGTATAATATTTATATAGATATTTTTGAAATTGTAATTTTAAATAAAAAATAATGATTTCAAAGAAACATTAAAATTTATAGATTTAAATGAAGCATTGTAAAAATGCTCGATCTCGAATCGAAGTGCATGACTGGTTTTAGGGTAAAAGTTGAGAACAGTCGTAACCGAGTTACCGTCCCCCAAGTACGGAACGGAGGATGAAGGACGGTCCTCCCTCAGGAACGAAACGGGATGAAACGGAAGCGTACGTGTCCTGCAAGAGAGCGTTCGTTCGGTATAGAAGTCTCTCGCGTGTTCTCGTCCTCTGGAGAAGTTCGAGGAAGCATAACCGTTGTCATGGCTACGATCACCTAGTGTCACACGAAATTACTTTTCAAGTTGTTTCCTGAGTGAAGTACTTTTAAGTGTAATTCTGACGTAACCAAAATGCGATAGGAATCAAGAATCTTACGGAATCGTCTATGGGGTTAACAAAGTAACCTTGCAAGAAAAACAAAATAAAAAATAAAATAATAAGAAGAAGATGTTGCTTTTTTCTTCATATTCTTTTAACGGGACAGAAAGTAACGCCACGTGGAGCATGTTTTATGAATGACCTGGGTACTAACACCTACGCGTGTCGCACGACGTACGATGCACGCAAGCTAAATATACTAACAACAAGTAATACCCACGAGTTGTCCTGGATGGCGATGACACGAACGGCAACCGAGAGCCCAACCCTACCATTGTATATCAGAATCCTACCTGTTTATCGTGTATGTTATTTTGTAGTGTAGGCTCCTTTTCTATGCAAAAACTAACTGGCCCACGCTAATCCGATCGTGCTCGATCATGTCTCGATCATATTCAAATAAATACCACGTATTCATTTTACGTGCATCCGATAATAACGATAATTCTTTCGATACGCGTATAAAGAAGGTTGGGCTGAATTTCAGATAAAACTAGATAGATACTACGAGGGTGAAGAGGGGGTTACTAACTCGTTCGAAAAAGCCCTAACGAGCCTTGGCGTTTCTTGGGGTTCGTTGTGCTAAGAAAGCACGTTGAATTCCGAGTGTTCCTGGCACGGATGACTAAAATGAAAAAAAAGGATTTTTTCCTGCTGTTTCTTTCTCTCTTCCCATCTTTAGATACGTCTCTCCTGTTTTTAACGGGAAAGCAACGAAAAGACGTAAACGAAAGGGGAGTTACTCCGTGCTTTTTAGAAAGGAGCAATCTTCCATTGTTTCAATGTGTCTCAAGTTAAAACGCGTGCCTTTTTTCTCATTTTTCACGAATAACGTCGTAAATGAAATATCTTCAAAGAAATCACAATTTTTGTTTAAACTAATGAAAAAATAATATATATATATATATAAAATAAATCATAAAAGGAAGGACGCACGTAGCAACGAAAAGAAAAAGAAGAAAAGACAGGAAATGGATAGAGAGTAACGGAACGAAGGGCTGATTTAGTTGGGGCTGCGAATTGGCAATTGCAAGCTAAATGATTTAGGTCGCGTACGTACTCTCGCTTACTTGGAAACCTTCCCCGAATTTTGCTGGGGATGAGCCTACCCCAAGGCAAAGTAAATATCTTTGGCCCATCGTACGAACTATCTTACCAAGAAAATAGATCTTTAATCAAATCGTCGACTCTCATCCCGATGACTCACGCTCCTTTGGACACGGAATCGTGTGTGCAAGCAACCACGTTTGTGGAAAACCCATATTACCCAAAGGAGTATCAAACGCGAGAATCGATATCTACAATTTCACATGTATACGGAAATTTCCGCGTGAAATTCTTCGATACTTAAACAAAATCGTTTGGTAATATAATTTTATATAATTTGTCTTATATGAAATAATTATTATTTTATAATATTATTAATATAATAATATTATATATTTATATTGTATAATATTAATAGGTATATAATATTAAATAATATTTATTTCCATTATTATATTAATATATAATATTAATATTATATATCAATATATATTATATATTTAATATAATAATTATTATATTATTAATTTAATTAATAATATAATATATATAATTTTTGAAATTATTATATTTCCAAGGTATCTCTCTTCCAATTGTATAAATAATTTATTTAATTAATAAGTATTATTTTGATTGATTATTAAAACAAATTGTGTTTATTTACATGACAAAATTACAAAAATCAAACGACAAAAATCAAACGACAAAAATTAGAAACTTATCCCGATCAAATAATAAATAACCAGTTTAATCTTTAAGTACTACTTTATGGCATCCTAAATAAAAATTTTCTAATTAGGATTGAATTATAAATACGATAAAAAATAATGTGTGATGAATGTATTGAAAAATATGTAATGAAAAAGGTTACTCTGTTGGTAGGAGATAGTCATGAGTTTAGGGAAAAAGAAGATGAGAGAGTAAAAAAAAAATCGAAAATCATTCAACCGTTTTCGATTAATCGACAGAGTGAGCGAGAGAGATAGAAAGAGAATGGGAAAGAGAATGGAGGGAGCATCCAAAGCTAGGAATAATTCCTCTACAATATGTATAAGCGAGAAAAAAAGGGCACGATCACGACGACTTTGTGTGGCTCCTTTCGAAAGATGCTGGTAGGTCGGTTGGATCCCTTAAAGTAAACATCAAGTAAGAGAAGCAACCGAAGCAAGAGGAGTAGCTACGCTTTCTTGAGATTGATCAAAGTACCTTCGCACCCTAAGGGCAGCATATTTGATAGTCTCCACTAAGGTTCTAACCTTCCGACACGAGACGAGAATCCTCGAAAGTTCTTTTCTCAAAGTAAACGTATCGATGTACGGGCGAGGAGATAAGTTCCTAGACGAAACAGTAGAACCAAAAAATAAAGAACCAAAAAATGAATGCAATAAGTTTAAGGAAGATACCGGTAAATTCGAATTAAACGTAGAATATCGCGCGCGTGGGTGCTGTATCATATTATGATGGCGTGTTTCAAAGCAAGGTAAATAAAGTTTTGGGTAAATCGCTCGCGGGAGAAACGAAATGCAGTGAAATTCGATAGCGTTCTACCGCACACCGGCCGCACGATTTTCAAAATTAGTAGGATAGGGGAATCGCGACGTGAACGGGGGGCAGAGGAAAATGGGAGGATATGAGGGGGGATATGAGGAGGAGAAGGTGGGGTAACGAAAGGGGGACCAATGTGAAAATCGCTTCTCTCGTAGGATTTTGCCTCGGGGGCTAAAGTGAGAGAAACAGGCGGGAAGGAGGGAAGGAGAGAAAACAGCGAGAGAGAATATCGAGCGAGCTGCGTTGATACCTAAAACGAAAAACGGAATGAGATACCTAAATGTAAAGAGTAACGGTGAAAGTAACAGTGAGATGAAAATAACCGAGAAAATAAACAAAAAGTGAATAACAGAGAGAAAGAGAGAGAGAGAGAGAGAAGGGTATGGAAGAGAGAAACGTGGTGTTAAACGCATATCGAAGGTACCATTTGGAAACGAAAGGCTTTGTCGAAATTGCTTCCGGTTTTCAATTAATTCGAAACGCGGTTTGCAACAGCAACGTGATCGAGAGCCAACTAGAACGTGCGAGAGTGCCAGCGTAACATCGAACTTCGATCGAGCGACAAGCGAGAGTAGTACCTCTGCCTAAAACGTGTGCCACTGACAGCACCTCATTTTCATTTAACGAATAAATGATTGATTTTCTATACGACTCGTGATCAGTTTTTCGATCGTATAAAAGATCCTAACGAGTATGGAAACGATTGGTATTTACGTATTTGCATACGTACTAAAAGTTCCATCTTTTATTTTTACAAACATTTTTATTATTTTAGTTCTTATGAATTGTGTAAATAGTTGTGATTAATAAAATATGGTAGAGATCGTTTAAGATAAGTACTTATATTGTTTTAATAGATTGTGTAGTTATTATTATATAATAAAAATTTAACGATGATAATAATAATTTGTTGCTAGAGTAGTTTTGGATAAAATTGTTATAAAAGTTACGCTCTACTTTTTCTACTACCTGCTGAGTTGTTTTTCCTCGATGTTGCCATTGATAAAAATGATCAGCATTAAGAGCCCAACCCGGTGCGTAACTGAAGCCTTCCACTGGGAATTGAGAGGCCAGTTTGTTGGTTGGGCCAATCGGACCAATTTGTTGCTGGTGATACTGTCGCTGTTGGATCAACGGATCCAAATCCGGTAATTCGGTGTATAAGCCTCGCCTGCTACCAAGAAAAACATTTTTTCCTTCCAAACGAGGAATACAATGCTGTGGTTGCATCAACATTTGTTTCTCCATAGTGTAAAGAGATTCGAATTTGAGAAATGACAAACATGGTTCGTTGTTTTCCGCGTTTCTTGAATAAAAATCAAAAGTCAAACCCATCTCGTCTTGATCAAAATCTTCGGAGAAGGATAATTCTCGTCTTCTTGGCGAACGATTCGAACTATTTTGCGAATACTGTCGATCGTCTAATTGTACACACCTCCTGGGTGACTTTTTAATCGTTGTAGTATCTAAATTCTGATTGGTAACCCTTCTAGGAGAATAGTAAACGTTACGAGATCTTACAGGACTTGAAAATGATGATTCTACTTGGACACTTTCCAAAGATCCATTTCCCGTACATCCGTCTACCGATTGAACGATGGATTTTGATGCGGTCATCTTCTTGGCACTTGACTTATTGTTCTTAGGTTTCGCACCATTGATATTGTTGTTGTTGTTGTTATTGTTGTTACCACCTCTATTACTGCCACTGCTGCTACTGCTGCCACTGCTGCCTTTCGTGTATAGCACGGGTAACTTGATTTCGGACAGGCCGGACATTCTAGCCACATTTTTTGTTTTCCTAGATTAAATCGTCGCAATAGGATCAAAGAAAGTTAAAGTCCTTGTGGAGGACCTTTTTCGAAAAAAAATACCTAAAAAAAAATTAAATAAAAAAATCGAACGTAATACGAGATCGATACGAGATAATTACTCGATGACAATTGATCGATGATACGTTAATGGCAAAAGGATAAACGCGTGGACGCTTCTCCAAAGATCCTCGATAGAACTGAGGAGGAGGAGGATGCTTGGAAGCGTCGAACCCGCCGCAGGATGAAGAGACTGAGTTGTGCGCGCGCGCACTATCACGCCGCGCGTACAACGTACGTAAGTACGTATCTACGCGCAGCCAGGTATGTCGGAGTCTCTCTGAGCGTGAAATGAAAAGGGACGAGAACCGGTCAATTATTTCCCTGGTTCCTGCTCTTCACCTTCCCTCTTCCACCACCCATTTCCTACTACTACTACTACACGTAAACTTGAGTCCTCGAGTTTACTAGCTCGCCTAATCACTTTCGAGTGCGTCGACTCGTTTTTACGAATCGTCTACTTTACGCCTAACCGAATGAATTGTTTGGATGAAAGCCAAGATGCCAATAATAGTGGTTTACCAATGACAGAATGTAATATTTACAACAGTAAATTATCCGTGAAAATGGTTCACCTTTGTAACCAAGTTTTACTTTCTGTCAAAATATTCTTCAAAATTGTATACTTAAATTTTTCTATGGATTTTATATTATAATATAATTTGATTCTACTCTATGTATTCTCACCATAACGATTTAAATTTTGTGAATGAAAATTAAGGAGAAAATTGATTATACTTTCTTCCCTAAACAAATGAAATTTTTGGGGGTTTTTGTCATTATTCTTTTTATATCAGACACACACATCACTTCACATAAACGTTGTACGGTGTTGGAGCGAGAGAAAATCATCAAGCCCTCATGTATGTACATTAGGGGTGAATATTATAAAAGCACTCTGGAAGAATCGACGAACGGCTCGATCCCTACTGAAACGACAAGCGGACGCTTGCTGAAAGGAAGAAACACTGCTGAAAGAAGTTTATACGATGAAAAGTGCTTTTCTATGAATATCTACGAAATTCGTTTAATTATCGCTCCTTAAAAAGCAAGTATTAAAATAATAATAACGTTGTAACGTTTATATTTAGATTATTACGTGAACCGTCTATTATTTTAATAACACGTCAAGAGGAAGTTAAACACAACATTTAAAGTAGAAAATATCTGCTATCTATTGATGTAATCATTATAAGAAAAATATTGATTAAAATTAAAGGGATAAAAATGTTTTTGATCTTGTAAATTAAATGAATTCTTTTTGAATTTTTTAGTCCTTCCGTAAACTCGAAATCATCAAACCCATTCGCGTCACTCGCAATGGTGTATAAGTTAATGCGGTTGACATCGTTGATGAAAGTCGTACGGGAAAGGAAAGCACCCTTGAAAAAGTCCCTCATAGTGGGACTTGGTGCGAACGAAATCTCCATATTTATAGGGAATGCTCGTCACAGCAGAAGATTTCGGATGCATGCTAAATAACCGAAGCCTATCCTATGAAGCAACACGAAACATCAGTAGGAGGAGGAGGAAGAAGAGGAGGAGGAGTATGATGTGGATGAAAGGAAAGGGTAGATTATATGTACGTTGGTGAAAGAAGGTGGTAGCTTAGGGTAGCAGCGATCACATTCCCTTTTCCCTCAGTACAACGCAACCATTCTAACAATCAGAGCACGCATTGCAAGCTACACAGAACGAGAACACGCGATAGGAAATTCTTTTTTTTGTCAGATTTTATTCAAATTTGTTATTTAAATTATACTTGATTTTTAATTAAATTGTATTCCATTTGTTTCATGGATAAATAGGATGGATAACATCGGAGGAAAACATTTTTTTCTTTAATTCGCAGAATTAATTATTTGTGTTCGTGATTTTAATCATAACAAACGTAACTGTGTACATTTAAGTATTAAGGGAAATATTAAATAATGAAAGTAAATATTAAATAAGCGGGAGAAAAGTTAAGGCAGGAAAAGCTGGTAAAAAAATTGTAAAAATAAAAAGAATTGGGGGAAGGAGGAGGTGGGGAAATTCATCATCACCTGGGACACGCACAAAAACGCGCGTCACTCAATTAGGTGGATTTTCCTTCTTTTTTTTTGGTGGAACATTGTTCACATGTCCGTGAGAAGGGTGTGGATACCAATGAGATTTTAATCAGATTTTTATCGAAGAAATGGCGACTTTTGGTAGGAAGATTTCTACCGACAAAAAAAAATTAAAAAGCAAGGATGAACAAGTTTCCATAAAAAGTGCGGTTATTTTAATAATTAATAAAGTTGTATTGAAAAAATAAAAAGAGAGAGGGATAGTCAAGGTTAGGTTATTCTTTATTTTGTATACCCATGACCTTACGATTCAGGACTTACTTTTCCGTTTCCACAAATTCAATATAATAATGTGTACTCTGACGATCCTGCGGCTTAGTTCTTTTTCCTCTCAGAGATTCTCTATCTGTTTTTCTTTCCGGACGCCATTTTCCAACGAACATTCAAAGGAACAGAATCGGACAAATCGTCGAAGAACCACTTTGAATCTCCTATGTCGCGAAGGGTGGCTTATGGGAACGTTATTGCCATGTCACTGCCTGTAGGATTATTGCGAATCATTTTTTCCACATGAAAGTAAAGGACCCCTCCCGTACACAAAGGACCCTCCTCCGCAAGCGTTGTCGCGCGAGCTTTTCCTTTTTTTTCTTTTTCTTTTTCTCTTCTACGTTTTCATTCTGACACTTTATTACAATGAACAATGAAAATCTATGAACTTTCTATCAATTACAAAAATTCAAACACCTTTCGATTTCTCTTTATTGATGTGACATTATTAGCCTGTATATTTTTGAGTACATTAAATTAATTATAATATATCTACAATTTTTTTTTGTTCATTCTAATATAGTGTGTGTGTGTGTGAACTTCAACGGATGAGAATAAAAATGAAGTTAAAAAAGGGACTCATAAACTTGTAAAATCGTTAATTGAATTATCAAAATTTCTGTGTTATCTTTATCATTTAATTAATGAATCCTTGAAAAGTAAAATCTGGTAAAAATTGCGACCGTGAGAATAAGCCCTTTGCAAACGCATAGGATGAGAATACCCTTAATAAAGGAGGACGAGAGGACGAGTGGATGGTATCGTTGCAATCATATGTTGGCGTTGGGCCGTAAAAGGACCCTCTAGTCTCATGGGAGTTTCATGTTCCTTTCTAACGGGGTAACACTGTACAAGAGCTTTGAAAAAATTCAAAAGGCAAATTTCACTCGTATCAAACACGCGACATCGTTCCAGAGCATATATTTTTGTATACATGAGTATATCTAGTAATTTCTCATGTAAAAATTAAATAGAAATATAAAAAACGCAATGTAATCAATTTTCCAAAACTTAAAACTTGGAGCTTAAGGTTGAAATAAAATATGGTAGTCTCTCAACTTAGAAATATTATTATAGAAAATGTGTAATTTTTTTTTTACGAATGAAGAAGCAAGCCAGATGCGAAAATATATTCGCGTATTACTTGTACTCCATTCACGTTTGCGATAGTAACGTAGTAGTAGACATGCGATTATACCAAGAAAGAGGGTGCTTGTAATTCCTTTGCATCGTGCGTGGTTGCACGCTCATGGGGTCGGCCGTGGTCGGCCAGAAATCACCGTGACTCACAAGATTTATTACTCTCGTCTAAACTCATTGATCCTAGAGCAATACGCGTATGAGACTCATAGAACTTAAGTAAGTAAGTACATATGTCGCGAATTGTGTTTTTCCCATTTTTTGCAAAATGAGATGCACATTTTTCTTTGAACTCGTACATAAAATCATTCGAATGCAAAACATTTCTTACATTTTTCCAATATTATGCGTTATGCTAGTTTTGTTAATTTTTTACTATGAAATATTATCGCGTTTAATTTATCATTGTTTTTGTAATCAATTGTAAACTTATATAAATTGATATATGTTCAACATTTGACAACAAAAATTAAATTAAAATTAAATTGTCATATTAACTAGTATACATTTAACAAATTATGTAAATTGTATTTTATTTTTACCTTAACTTGTTGTATCTTTTCCTTACAAGATACTTTATACTTTTCCAATTGCTGTTGCTGTTGTATCAAATCAAATTCCCCGTAAGTTTGAGTTTCCAATGATAAGGACGAATCAGGAGACCCCAAACCTGAACTGTTACTTATACTTGGTTTGATATTTTTCGGTATCTCTTTTATGTCGATCGAGGAGTCCTTTTGAGGTGACAACGGTGACAATGGTGATCCTATTCCCGAACTGTCCGAACTGGAATTCACCAATCCTCGAAATCCGGATGAAGAAGGTCTTGCTATTTTCAATTTTGGGATTAAGCTCCTTTTCGAGATTCCATTGGTTCTTGAGATATTTCTGATACTGGAATACTTTGATCTCGAAGACTCGATAGTTTTCCCAGTGGATAATTTTAAATCGAATCCTGTTCTTGGATTTATTTTTACAAGGTTTGCAGTTGTATCGACATTTTTCTTTCCTTTTATCATCGTACTTTGACGTTCGTGGATTTTACTTTCTTTATCTTTATTTTTTTCAATTTTATCGTTCTTTTGAACAACGGGATCATCGTTACCATTTGTTTCGAATTTCGTACATTTACAATTGTGATCGATAACGTTGACTGATTTTGAATTCCCTGGGGTATGATAACCGTAATATTCAACATTTTCAAAATGATTTTTACAAGATAAGGACACACCGATAGAAGCTGGTCGTCTCTTCACTGTTCCAGTTTCGTGACTCGGCGAATCCCAGTCCAAGTGAAACGTTCTTCTTCTAGAAGTCATTCCAATTGAAATAGCAATCGTTTATTTTACGACACTTTCTAATATTGTCTTCTCTTTGCTATTTGCATTAACGTTGAAATAAATCG